CCTCATATACTTAGAGTCCACAAGAAAATCTAATATGAGTTTATTAGATCTTCTCATCTAGACACTTTCTGCCTCACCAGGCACCTTGTACGTTGTTTTGACAATCTTGATTAGCTAATCTCCAGCCACACTGAACATCACTCTGTTCCTTACATATGTCATAACCTATTTAACCTTAACTGTTTCACCTTCTATAATTGTTATTTAGTAATAATATTACCTGTCTCCTAATTTTAAAAAGCCTCTGGAGTGTCTTTTATTCCTTCCTTTTAACCATCTACCTTTACTTGTTTAATAAAGTGAGGAGGCTGGGTTTTCTGGAATAGTTCTCATGTATGCGTTTTTTTCCCAGGCCTAATTAATTTTAGATTAACAAATTATAGTGGCCAACATAGTGATCTCCATATCTCTGTTTATATCAGTTTGTTTATTTGTTTTGTGTAATTGGCATTCAGAACGGAATTCTGTCTTTGTGACCACAAAGTATTTTTCCGACCTCATGTACCATCTTTCCAATACCTAACTGATTACCAAGTCACAGTGAACTAAATAATCTTCCTTAACTATGGTCTCTAGTTAGTCTACTGTCAACTTGTCATCATCCACACCCTTTTCCACCAATCTCAGAAACAGAAAATCCTTCCTGGATCTCTTTCCTTTTGTGGTTTTGGGTTAGAGTCTACCAATGAGAGGCACTGATACAAGATTTCGAAGCAGACGCCGTTAGTTAGTATCCTAAGTGCAGTTGTCAGAAGATGCATAAAGAAGGGTTGGGTTTGGGGATCCTGCACAAATGACTGAGATGTGCTATGGCTTCCTGGTGAGCTCCCTCCAGTAGCTGTTTCCATGACCTTTGTTCTCATTGCTCCAACAGCTGTGAGAATCTCTGATTTCTCTTATTAAAACCTTTTCTATTTGTAGTACCTCCAGCACATGCATGCACACAGTTTTGTAATATCTGTGAAGACCTCACTAACATTTTGATAATAATTAAACGTGTAAATTCTTATATCTCATCCCATTGTTCATTATATACCCTACACACACACACACTCACACACACACACACACACACATCCATGCCCCCTCCACAGTCAGGTAAACTAGATACAATCTTAAATAGAAATAATAAAATGTTCTGCATGTAATTATGTGTTATTCTCACAATAATCAGAATCAAATAAAAAGGGCAAATGTAATTTACTGGACCCAACTACTTACACAAGAGCTATAACATGTCATGGAAATTTGCAGACCACTTTTGTTAGCTTGATGCCATCATGGTTAATAAATCAAGACCAAAAAGTATCATTCCTAGACATTCCAAAGTTACTTAACAAAGGTAAAACTTCAACAGTGTGAAATGTCAAGACTGACCTTATGTTGCAGCCCATAAATGTAATGTCACCTAGAGTTAGGAAGTAAAGGTTAGAAATCTTTGGCTGAGGTTTGGAATCCCCTCGCATCTAAGGGATGAGTCTCAAGAATATTAGTAATCTCCCATGATGAGGCCCATTATGGGATACAGATTCTCTTAAACATTCTAGATTCTGTTTATTTCTTTGCTGTCTAATTTCACTTCCAGAAATATACATGCCCTTTATCTCTATGCTCATTTTTCATAAAACAAAGGGTTTTTGTAAAGAGCAAACCTTTCACAGGACTTACTGCATCCACACTGGTGAGTAATAGAAAAATCACAAAGTGGCATACGTTGGACAATCAGAAATGTCCTTCTCCAGCTAACAGGCTCACTGTTACAACCTACCTTTCAATGTGGGCCATTAAAAATTTATGTCTCAGTATAGTAAGTGACAGATCAGTAGTAAGTACTAATTTCACAAATACTCAGGGCTTCTCGCATCCCAAAAGACCGTTTGCCCTCACAAAAGTCTGTCTGTCTTCATCCTCCCCATCTATCTTTGGGTGCTTCCCACTCTAGTTGCACCTGACAGTCACCCAGGAAATCTGCAGTTTATCATTGCTGTCTATCCTGGGTTCTTTATTTTTCTCAATCCCCTTTAGATGACCTGGGTTGATTTCCGGCTTTGGTCAATATTCCTTATTGCTGGTGTTATGTCATGTTTATTTATTGTTTAAATCCTATCAGTCAGGCATTTGCTACATGTCCCTCAGTGTACATGAGGCACTGGGCACTGCTGCAACTTCTTTCCACCTCTATAGCCTGGTCATAGCTTGAGTAAGTCACTGACCTCTATAAGAGATCACAGGACCTTCTAGTTCTCTCATGGAACCTTGCCCAGCCTGTCATACACCTTAGATTATGGAGAGATCTAGAGCTAACTTTTCATGCTCCAACACAAAGAAACTGGTTATTTTTAAACATGGACTTTATACCAGGCTCTGAAGATACCACTGTGAAATAGTCTCAACTATTAAGAAATTAACAATGGAATGAAAGAGACAGACAATTAAACAGGCAAAAACACTCCACCTTGACACATTTAGAGATAAGTACTAAGAATGCTACTAAACACCTAGAAGGGACAACTAGTGCAGTCTTGGGGTATGTTTAAAAACATACATCTCTGGGAAGTTTTTAATCACTACTGCACACACCAGATACACAATTATCACCATCAATATGTAATGAAATTGAAATTGAACTGAAATGTTGCTCGTGGAATCTACCTGTGTCTATAAATCCATAAATTAAATTTATGAAAAAATAGTTTGTTGAGTGATATATGAGTTAATGTTTAAATTGTTCGGGCCCACCTTCTTTAGCCCAGTGCTGAGGACTTTTCTTTGCTCTTATAACTTCTCTTCTCTGACACACATTAACTCACTGGCATGAAACAGGGTTTGCAGACTCTGTGACGTCCAGAGTTCTCAGTCACCCCAACCATTTCATGCTATCTATCTTAAGGGTAACCTAGAAGCAATGCCTCATGGCTTTCAGATTTTTATAGGACTCAGATTGGGCCAAGCACGGTGGCTCATGCCTGTAATCCCAGCACTTTGGGAGGCTGAGGCAGGTGGATCACCTGAAGTCAGGAGTTTGAGACCAGCCTGGCCAACATGGTGAAACACCATCTCTACAAAAAAAATGCAAAATGAGCTGGGCAGGGTAGTGGGTGCCTGTAGTCCCAGCTACTTGGGAGGCTGAGGCAGGAGAATTGCTTGAATCCGGGAGGCAGAAGTTGCAGTGAGCTGGGATTTCACCACTGCACTCCAGCCTGGGCAACAGAGTGAGACTCCATCTAAAAAATAAAAGAACAAACAAACAAACAAACAAAAGATGCAGATTGGATGGCCAGGAACGGTGGCTCATGCCTGTAATCCCAGCATTTTGGGAGGCCAAGGTGGGTAGATCACCTGAGATCAGAAGTTCGAAACCAGCCTGGCCAACATGGCAAAACCCCATCTCTACTAAAAATACAAAAATTACCCAGTCGCAGTAGTGGGCACCTGTAATTCCAGCTACTCAGGAGGCTAATACAGGAGAATCACTTGAACCTGGGAGGCAGAAGTAGATTGCAGTGAGCCAAGATCATGCCATTGCACTCTAGCCTGGGCGACAGAGTGAGACTCCATCTCAAAAAACAAAAAAGGAAAAAAAGATTCAGATTGGACAAGTGATTTCAATGGTCAGTATTTCTGGTCAAGTGAAGGCACTGATATGGACCGCAGCTGCAGGCAGCTTAGCCTCCCAGTGGGAGCCTCTCAGGGAAGCATACGCACCTGGTAATCACACCCCTTCACCTAGGACTAGACGTGCTCACATCCAAAAGAAGCAATCATATTTTAAGGGGCTTGTAGTTCACAAAGTCCTTCTATTCTAGAATCTCTTTGGATCCTCACAATAGCCCTGAAGGTCAGATGAGGATACTTGTTCTGAATGATTAAATAAATTGACTGCGTCAGGCCAATAGTGAGGACAGAACTTCCTGATGGCAGACCCCGGGCTCAGTCCATCCCCCTACAGTGTTTTCTGCTTTCAAGGCTTTGATGCTATGAAGAAAAGCATATACCTCACAGTGACATTACTATCTAAGAAGCAGACAGCTTGGCATCATGCCTTGAAAGAAATCAGACGTATATTTTTGAATAAAAACATCTACATTGCTATTTCTAATACAAGTTTTTTCCTTCTTGTTGATTCATCCTTAAGTTTTAGGAAAAATGAAATAAGGCATGAGCCAGAACAACTGACAAAATAAGGAAAAGTAGAGCGGGTTGTGGGAATGTTGTTTTCCACAGCTTTGTCAGAAAAAGCAAGCCAGAGAAAACAGTAATTCCTAAGAAGCTTCTTTGACTCTACTCCAAGAAAAATTGATAAGAAAAATATACATCGTGCTGTTAACAATTATATCCATCCGTGCAGATGAAGCAGGCATCAAGTTCACAGTTATTCAGACAAGTGCTGGTGAGGCACTTGGAAGCAGCAAGCGGAGCTGGTGCTGACCAAATTCATGCCAGTCAGAGCCCTGAGCATTAGGTAGAAAGGATAAGGCTCTCTGCCTCTTTGTAGTGTGAGTTTCCCCAAGCCCTCCTTCCCTAACTCAATTCTTATTACAATACTACTCCCTGCTGACGCAGTGACTCACACCCATAATCCCAGTACTTTGGGAGGCCAAGATGGGCAAATCACTTGAGTCCTGGTGTTCAAGACCAGCCTGGCCAACATGGCCAAACCCCATTTCCACTAAAAATACAAAAATTAGCTGGGTGTTGTGATGGGCGCCTGTAATCCTAGCTACTCGGGAGGCTGAGGCACGAGAATCACTTGAACCCAAGAGGTAGAGGCTCCAGTGAGCCAGGATTGTGCCACTGCATTCCAGCCGGGGCAACAGAACAAGACTGTGTCTTTAAAAAAGCAAAAGTAAAAGCAAGCAAAGAAAGCAGTACAACTCCCTATATAGGTTTTTATTATTCTGATACTGTGCTGTATTTGTGGAGAGTTACTGGACAGATCTTTTATGTTTAGTTGTTCCAATGCATACAATAAGGACATGTTATCTGAGGAGAAAACGAACCTGTTCTCTGAGTGCCGTGATGGTTTCCTGAATTTCCGCTGCAAACGTGCTGAAATCTTGGGAGAACTTTGTTTTTTCCAGAACCGTCACATTTCTTGCATCTTCACCCACATATATTTTATCTTGTTGCCTGTTTATAACAAGAAGCAAATAAAATGCTGAAAATAAAATTGTGTGAGAATTTTAAAATACCATCAAATCTTCTTTGGTCATTTGGCAGGTACAAGGCATTGTGACTGGTGTTCTGTGTGATCTTAAAAGGAAAATGATATGAATGGGATTCAAAATTAAAATTAAATGGCAGATAAGATGATAATCCAGAGTGTCACATCTGGTTCATGTGATTTATCTAAAATGATAAGAAAGTATTTCTTGTGACATAAAGGGAGTGTCGTGTTGTATTACATATGTATTTGATATATTATTTCGATCTTAAAGTATATCTTTTGCTAATGAATTCCTCATTTGACCTTAAACAGTGAAAAAGCAGTGACAAATTTAATATAACATGTTATCCAGTAGCCAGGTAGGAAAGTTGCTTTCTCTATTATGAATTCATGGCAAGAACTAAAATAAGATAAGGATACTATGAGTGATGAAAATCTAACATTTAACCTGATGCAAAATAGCTCAGTCTTGTTGATAATAAAAGGATATAAGGAAATCATGGGTTGAATTTAAGATATGTTTCTTAGAGTTTACTGAAATTATCAAGAAACAGAAGCAAAAAACCAGTTTGGGAAATAGAAATGAAATTTCTTTCTATTTACAATTATGATGTATTGCTAAAAATATTTTTAGATAGATTTGATTTATTGGGTATGATATCTGTGTTTCAAGTTCTCAATTTTTTTCCAAATTTTGTAAAAAGTTGCTCCTTGTGAAGAAACCATTATAACTTTCAAATTGTTCTCTTTTACTCTATTTGAAATGTGTCTTCCATTGTTTACTAAGAAAATGGCTTGCCAGAAACAGTACATTCTATGAGCTTATAAAACAAGTTATAAATCAGGGACATAGTATAGAGTTTACATCAATCAGGGAATTTAAAATAGGGAAACACAGAAAAACAAGAAAAGTTACCAACAGCAGTAGTTTAGTCATAGATAACTCCATGTCCTCTGAGACACTGTGAGCTAGAGGCACCATGAATCAGTACTGACCACATGCTAGCTCCTATACAGTACTGTGTTAAAAGGTTTAAATGCACAAGTGTTGTTAGGGATAATATTGATGCAAATAGTTGGACATTTTACTTTCATAATGCTCTCTTCTGTAAATCTTCAATGTCTAATCAAAGGTATTTAATCCTGAAAAAGCCTGAATGACTGTATGAAGATACAACCAACAGTCTAAAGACCACATGTGGGCACACAGGGAAGTGGCTGATGTTGGTGAGCCCAGATGTTGTGGAGTAGGAGAGTATTCACAATTTAACAAGTATGTGTGGATATGGGCCATGCATCAGGCATTCTGCTCAGGTAGATGGGTGCAGGATGTGAGGGTGCTGCCGTTAGGCTCCTCACATTCTTTCAAAAAGAACAGTTGGCAAAGAAGCAAGACATATAGCATCTGCACTAGGAAGACAAATAAGAGGTATAACCTCTTATTTATAGGCAACAATACTACATTTTAAGCTTTACTGATGTACAACTGATACACACAAAAACACACATATTTAATGTATACATTTTGATGAGTTTGGACATGTGCATATATACCTGTGATACTACAAAGTACTCAGTATAAATATACTCACCACCTCCAAAAATTAACTTATTTTTTTTCATGTGTGCATGTGGTTTGTTTTGGTTTTTGTTTGTTCTTATGATGATATTTAATATGAGATCTATCTTCTCAAACTATTTGAAAGTGTACGGTACCATTTATTAACTAGGGGTACTAGGTTGTACAGCGAATCTCTAGAACTTATTTGTCTTGCATAAGTAAAACTCTTTACTCATTGAGCAACAATTCTCCATTTCTTCCTCCTCCTAGCCCCTGACCACCAGCATTCTATTCTCTGCCACTCTGAGTCCAACTCTTTTAGATACCTCATACAAATAGAATCATGCAATATCTTCCTTTTGTGACTGCCTAATTTCACTTAGCATAATGTCCTCTAGAACTACAATGACATAGCACCTCACACCTGTTAGGATGACTATTACCAAAAAACAAAAGATAACAAGCGTTAGTGAGGATTATACAATGTTGGTGGAAATGTGGGATGGTGTAGCCACTGTGGAAAACAGTATGGAGACTCCTCAAAAAGCAACATGGAACTACCATTTCATCTAGCAATCCCACTCCTGGGTATATAGCCAAAATAATTGAAATGAGGATATCAAAGAGATGTCCGCACTCCCATGTTACCTGCAACGTTATTCATAATTGGAACAATATAGAAACAATATAAGTGTCCACCAATGGACAGATGAACAATACTGTATTGTACACTGACAAATGTGTTAAGAAGTATGATCTCATGTTGTTCTCATCACAAAAAAATAAAATTAATAAAGTAAAATAAAATATATAAAAAATAAAGTTTTACCCATAAAAAATAGTGTATACTATTTAAGAAGACTTGCAAAATGCAGTAAAGTGTAAAAGAAAAGTCATCAGTACTCAATTAAAAAATGGGGGAGGGATGACCTATATTCATAAGAATAAATGTTTAACATAATTATTTATATTTTTAGTTTGTTATTTCATTTACAAATAGGTTTTTTCCATAGTAAAGGTAGCACATGTTATTTTAGAAAAATATGTTAAAGCAGAAGTGCAGAACAAAAAGAAAAAAAACACTTAAATTAATCAGGAAAAATGATTCTTTTATCTCAAAAATTACTTCACATTGTTGATTTCTGATTGGGGAAAAAAAAAATTTAGAAATCTCTGAAAAACGCATAATTCGAAGAATAAAATCCCCAGTAGTCTTAAACAAACATGAATGCATAAATAAATAAGAAGGCAATGCCTTCTACCTGGGAGCAGAGCAGTAATGAGTATGGGAAGCTGTATAAAGAGAATCCCGTGTCAGGTCCACGTAGTTAGTGCCTGCTCTGCGCAGGCAGGAGTTGAAGTGCTAGCGTGCACTTTGTGTCACTTAACTGCCCAGTTCTATAAGACACTTTAACTAGCCTGTGTTTCCGGTGAGAATACCGCAGCTTAGAAAGTTCTTAACATGTCCACACTATACAGAGCTGTTAAACTGCACAGCTGGGATGCAGATTAGGATTCAAAAAAAAGGGCCTTGCTCTTAACCAGTACACAGTCTATTTTCCATCCATAGAGTGTGGTGGGTAATTTAAAGAATGATCAGATTTACATTTTAGACAATTTGGAAGGACGGAAGAGAGGCAAGGAGCCCAGGTAGGAAGGTTTTTGCAAAAAAATGAAACACAAAAACTTGTATCCTCAAGTTAAAACAATAATCTTGAAAAGTAGGTATTACATGCCCATTTTACAGCTGAGAAAACGGAGATTTGGAAATTTTATATAACATGCATAGTTATGAAGCGGTAGAAATAGGATTTGAATCCATGTGCCTGACTCTAAAGCCTTCACACTTCCTGTCCAACAACACTATCTCCTCTCCTCAATCTTAGAGTACAGGACCCATATATTGTTCAAGTTTATAGCTGTAATTGAAGAAATGGATGCCAAAAATGGATTTTGAATTTGGCTGAATTATACCACTTAGGAGGCAGCTATGGACAACGAAAATAGGATATATGGTTCCTTGAAAGAATCTGCATGGCCTATGGAGCTGTGAATTGCAATGTTTATTTTGGTAACTTAATTTCACAAGTATGTACTGACTCCTTATTCAATGAAAAGGAGTTACTGGACATATCTATGCACCAGGTAATGTTTCTGCTTTCAGAAGCTTCCAAGTCAACAGTAGGGAGAAACTTTTTAAAGCAACACTTTGTATCAAGCTAATATATAAGCTACATAAAAGAAGTCCTAAAGGATTTCAAAGGAATAAGATTGACATTTATCAATTTTCTAAGAATTCAAAAATATTCCATCTTGGTCACAAATCAAGCCTTGCTTGCCATGTACTATTCATGAATTCAAATCAACTTAACATGAGTTAACTTAAATAGATACTATTACCTTTCTCACAAACAATATGCTATCTCACATTTTCAAAAATAATCTGAAAAATATCAACCCATAATGTCATTTAAGGGGTCAAAACTAGCATCATGCAATGTAGTTTTCTGAACTTTATTGAGAAAATTCATTGTCAAATACGCTCTGGCTGGGCTACTGCAGAGTGAAATGGAACCCAAACACATTACAGAACTCATTCTGTGTTTGCTCCTTTTCATGTGGTTCATCTTATATGTAAATAAGTTAACTGTGGCCTCTATTAAAAAAGATTTAAAAAATTATAGGTTTGAAGCAAATCTATAGTAAGTTGCCTAAAGAAATGAGATATTTCTATACATACCTACTTCTTAGATGACTTAACTCCATATCTTTCTCATCAGGATAGTTGTATGGAGCTGAGCGTTTCTTTTGAGATTCTTGTGTCACTTCTCTGAACTGTCCTCTACTCCTACAGTCTGTGGAGAAAGAAGTAACCACAATAGCATCATGTGAGATGGGATGTCACAATCTCATCTAGATCATTTCTTTAATGGTCAGAGAGGGCAAGAGTGCCAAGAAGAAAGAGCAGAGAGCGAGAGTGAGAGAGACTCATTTAGTCCGTTGCTTTTTGCTGGGTAACCACAGTCTCAGATACTTGCATTTGCATGTCACTGAATCTCTGTTTTGCAGCAGCAAGTGGGATGCAGAGCAGTCTGCAGAGCCTCTGGAGGAGCCCCAGGGAGAGTGATGTTGAATCTTAGTAAGGGCATGGATTGCACAGCGTCTTTTATTCACGAAGGACTTGGCACAATGAAGAAAGAAGCAGAAAAGTCCTGGGTGGAATGCTTGAAATTTGGCAACTCCTCAAAGTGTCTCAGGCACACCTGATACCCACTAGGGATTTGTTTTTTAAGATGCCCCCTGTTGCACGTCTGTACTGTGCCCTCAAAGTGGTTAAAATGGTAAGTTTTATGTTATGTGTTTTCATCACAATCAAAAAGATATGAGAATAACATGAAAAACTTGTTGCAAATAAATATGGAACTTTAAAAAGTGGTCTCTGATATAGTATGCATGTCCCCCTCAAACCTCCTGTTGAGATGTAAGCACCAGTGTTGGTGGAGCCTGGTGGGAGGTATCTGGATGTGGGAGCAGCCCCCTCATGTCTTTGTGCTGTTCTTGCCATAGTGAGTGAGTTCTCGGAGATCTGTTGTTTACAAGTGCGTGGGACCTCCCCCTACTCTCTTGCTCCCGATCACATCACGTGCCCTGTCTCCTGCTCCCCTTTGCCTTGGCCATGAGTGAAAGCTTCCTGAGGCCTCTCTAGAAGCTGAGCAGATACTGGCACCAGACTTTCAGTATGGCCTATAGAACTGTGAGCCCATTCAACTGCTTTTATTTATAAATTACCCAGTCTTGGGTATTTTTTATAGCAATGCAAAAACTGCCTAATACACTCTCTGAAATTTCATATGAAAACAGATGGTCTGGAAACTAAGATATTTTGAAAATGAAAAAGAATGATATAGGAATCAACATTCCCAGATAGTAAAACTATTATACATGAAGTTCAAAAACAAAAATTCTTAATATTGATGGGAAAATGACTGAAGAAATAAAGCAGGATAACAACCCCAGGGCATCTTACCATGCAATCAAATTTAACACATTATATTAGGCAGCACAAATTGGAAAATAGAGAGAGAGTACTTTTGTTCTGGGCAACTAGCAAGTAATTCCTAAAACAAGAGAAAGTGAAAACAACTTACATCTTCACCTTATCATACGTAAATTAAATTCAAGAGGGATATGACATGAACGATTATCAAGCAAACATGAATATGAAATGTAGGATGATTTTTAAAATGACACAACAAACTGCAAATGCTATAACACTAAACAAAATAAGAGTAAAACTTATACATATGAACTCACTGATATTAAAACATACCAGAAATAAACTAAAATGAAAATATCCCAAAATGACAACAGTGACATGTCTAGAAAACTGGTTATGATTGTTACTTGTTTTCTTTTTTGATTTGTACTTCTACCTTTTGTTTTCTTTTGTCCTTGTTTTCAATTAAAAAAGTATTTATAAAATCCAAACACAGTTCACTGAAGAAAATCCAAGCCTTCTTAAAAGGTTTATAAGTTAATTATCATATTGTTGTATATTACCATAATTGGATAAAAAATTTCTGGAGGCCAAGTGCAGTGGCTCATGCCTCGGCCTCCCAAAGTGCTGGGATTGTAGGGATGAGCCACCGCGCCCGACCTATTACTACTTTTATAATGATGAAGTCAAAACATTCTAGATAAAGCTGTACATTATACTAAGGGACCCACAGGTGCTTATTTTCCCCTACTGTTATGCTGTTACCTCAACTTAGTACTTTACTGATAATTAATAACCCATAAATATTCCCAGTTCTGGGTAAAAAAAAATACATAGAAATTTTTAAGAAGAATACAACTAAAGAAAGTAAACTTCAATCACAAAATGAAACTCAGTCTTTCTATTTCTGAATAGCAAACAGCTTTTGTCAATAAATATTTATGGAGTTCTTACTGAATTAAGGTATTAGGCTAGGCACTGTAGAGAAAATAAAAATGGAAAAGCCATGGTTCCTGATTTTCAATAGGTTGCATGTATTCTCCCCACTACAATGCAGCATCTCCAGCTAAGCCAAATATCTTTCTTTCCAATTCTCATATAAAAAGGAAAAATGTAGAGAAAAGGCTCTGCAGATAAACTCTCATCATCTATGGTCTTCCATTATTTTGTAGAAAGATAAAGCTTTAGAATTTATTTACTTTAAAGCACCAATAGATTGTTCAAGGTCGTATAAATAGAACCCCAAAGCAAGGAATCGTATATATAAAATCACAGGTATACAGAGATGGGTACACCTGAACAGAAACAACCCACAAGACTGCAGTGATGTGGCAGCTTTCTTGTAATGTGACAGCTAAAATGTTGTAGTTCTGACATCATTTCTTTTAATTCACTTCATTATTTATTCCTAAATACTGCCAAAGAAGCAGAGTGTCCTTGATTGCTGAATGTTTGGCTGTTAAGCAAACAACATTACATTTAAATTCAATGTTAGTATAGTAGATGCTTTGATTTTATCCCTATGCATATTTATCTTATATAAATATATACATGTGCATACATATATATCCATGTGTATGTGTATATATACATACATGTGTTGAAGCTCTGTTCTTAGGCTTTATATGAGTTATTTATTTGAAACTTTACAATAACCCATACTCAATATTATCTTCCCTATTGTTAACCTGAGGAAATTAAGGCACAGAAAGATTATATTATCTCATACGAAGTCCTACAGCTTTTCAACCGAAGAGACAGGGTTTAAATCCAGATTATATTATCTTGCACAAAGTCCTACAGCTTTTCAACCGAAGAGACAGGGTTTAAATCCAGATTATATTATCTTGCACAAAGTCCTACAGCTTTTCAACAGAAGAGACAGGGTTTAAACCCAGCCAGTCAGACTCAAAAGTCATAATGCCACAGCACAGAATGAGGAAAACAGAAGAAGGTTAACTCCTAGATTTCTGGCTTACGCAACTTGCAAATAATAGGGTCATTATTTGTTAACTGAATGAATGGATGGAGGGAGGGTGGAAAGTAAAAGGAAATGACTTAAATTTAGCTCAGCTTAAATTCTGGTCTATGTATGACATGGGGGCGATAGCAGATAGGGTTTTTGAAGACAGCAATAGATGTGGATGAAGATGCAGCCAGATAACTCGTGTTCAAGGGGCATAATGGTGGGTGGGTGGGTGTGTGTGTGTGTGTGTGTGTGTGTGTGAATCTTCCCATTCAGGGCAGCCTTGGTTGCCCCCACCTAAACCCTGCTCTTGCCTTTGCTTTGTGAATGGTGACCTAGATTCTTAGTGAATGAAACAAGGTCCTTCCCTATGGAGCACCTTCTTGCCTCTGCAGTCTCATTTCTCCCTAATGCACAATCCACAGCCAGTTATCCTGCTCCAACTTCATTTGGTCTCACTTGACTGACAAATGCCACAGATGTCATGTCAGCCTTCTCCAGGAAGCCTTTCTCAACTGCCAAGAGCAAGTCGGATGTAAACTCACTGTACTCTCTCAACACTCTCTGGATACAATGGGTCTCACTCCTCTCATTCTCTGAGAAGAGCAGAAGAGAAGGGCCTTGTCCTACCTACCAGTTAATCCTCAGCACCTGCTTGTGGCATGTGCCCAGTAAATGCTTTAATAAAATTAGAAAATTCTGAAGACAACATGTTGCTTTAGGAATGTGTCTGAATATTGCAGTTTATTGGAGTGGATTGACAGTCCATGGTGAATAAACAAGGTCAAGTTTGGGAGACTGAGCGATAGTAGCTCAGGCAATCATGTGTCTTTCCATGAACTGATCAAAACTATGCAACTGTGGAACACTAGTATCCCAATGCTGCACTCCATAGATTAAAAATACGTCAAAATTGATTTTTTAAATTGGCAAAAATATATCTGATTTTCATTTTCAACACTTTCAACACGTCTTATTTGCTTGCAAAAAGGGAAAAAGTACAAATAACTGAGAGCAAATTTACAAAACTGACAATGAATTTGCGGGACGCTTTGAGAATGAGTGCATTCATATTGCATATGAAACATCTCCGTTGTCTGGGGTATATGCCCTGGTTCTTTATCTCATACCGAGAAAAAATTCAGGACACGGACACACACGAGGAGTAGGTTTAGAGGAATAAAGTTTAATAGACCAAAAAGAAGAGAAAGAGAAAAAGCCTCCTCATGCTGAGAAAGCTGTTCACCCAAGAGAGGGTCTCTGGTTTGGGACCGAATGCAATCAATTTTGTACATAGGCTTGAGGAGGCAGTGATTGATTTACATAGAGTCCAGGGGATTAGTCTGATCAGGTATGTCATTTACATAGCCTAGGAAAAGACTAGTCCTCTCACCCTAGGAAAAGACCAGCCCTCCCACCCTAGTCTTTTATTATGCAAATGCAACTTCTTCTTCTTTTTTGAGAGGGAGTTTCACTCCTCGCCCAGGCTACAGTGCAATGGTGCAATCTCAGCTAACTGCAACCTCCGCCTCCGGGGGTCAAGTGATTCTCCTGCCCCAGCCTCCGGCGTAGCTGGAATTACAGGTGTGCACTACTCAGCTAATTTTTGTATTATTAGTAGAGACAGGGCTTCACTATGTTGACCAAGCCAGTCTCGAACTCCTGAACTCAGCTGATCCGCCCACCTCGGCCTCCCAAAATGCTGGGATTACATGCGTGAGCCACCGCACCCGGTCGCAAATGCAGCTTCTACCTGGCGGCCACCATGACACCCGCACATGTGGTGACAAGAAAAAGGGGGCAGGAACCGCCATGTTGGATGGACTTGACTCTTAGCAGCATGTATTTACATATGCATATCTATGCTTGCAGCCTGACCTTTAAGACTGCTT